AAATACATAAATCTGGAAAAAGACATAAACACACTGAAGTCAGCAAATGTCTTCACAGGTTTCCAAATATGCACATCTATATGTAAATGTGAACTAAACTGGGGTAAAAGTGCACATGAATCTATTAATGTGCACAAATATTTGTAATTTTTCATAGATTTTTTTGTTTTTGGTGTTTTTTGTATTTTGTACACAAATGTGAGATTTTAAATGTACACGCAAATTCAGAAAAGTGCACAGAAGTCTTTCAGTTTTTGCATTAATCTGTAAATTTGAACTGAAATATGTAAATGTGCAAAAAATCTGTAAATGTGCTCTGGGATTTATGAATGAGCACACTAATCTGTACCTCGAGATTTTTAATATGCACAAACGTCTGTGTGTGTTTGTGTGCATGTGTGTGTGCATAAAATTTGTGCATCACAACTCTCCACAGAGAAAATATATTGTTACATGTTACTGCAAAAGCATATATCCTTCCTCCCTCTCCTCTTCCTCTCTGAGGTGTTGCCCCAGCTTGTGTGGGACGCTAAGGGACGCTTTCCTGGTCCTGACTTCTTATGTCGCCTGGTGAAGTACCTTCAGGTTCTTGGAATGTTTGCCTCCTCCTACATGATCGTGGCCATGACAGTGGATCGCCACTATGCTATCTGCTGCCCCCTGCAGGCACATCGCAGCGGGGCCACGAAGCGCTGGAACAGCTTCATCGTGCTGGCCTGGGTACTGTCGCTGCTGCTCAGCCTGCCACAGGTAGGCCAAAGCAAAGAGGCTGGCCACAGATCTGCTCCTGAGAGTCATAACTTAGGTTCTGATTACCGTTAGGCTCTTAAAATTAACATTAAAAAGAGAAGAAAACAAGGTGATAGTCAAAGAAAGGACATGGGCATCATTAAAACACGAAGTCGTAAATAAGCACCGTGCCAATTAAAATCTTATAGAAGAGAGCACAAACACAAAATCAGACTGTTTGCTGTTACCGTCACCTCCACTCATCTCTTTGCTGGTTTGCAGGTCTTTATCTTTTCCCGTTCTGAGTTGGCTCCAGGTGTGTATGAATGTTGGGGCAACTTTGCCGAGTCCTGGGGCCTCAAAGCCTACGTGACGTGGATGACGCTGGCCATCTTCGTCCTCCCCGTTCTGATCATCACCATCTGCCAGGTAGAACAGAGAGAACCAGAAGACAAGATGCTTCTGGAAACAAAAATTTACCCTCTCTCGTCTTTCTTCCTTCAGGTGCGAATCTTCAAGGAGATTCACAACAATCTGTACCTGAAATCAGACTGCCGCCTGTGCCCCGCTGCTCTCCCTCAATTAAGAAAAGAAACCCAGAGAGGAAAAAGAGGAGGAGGAGAAGGAAAGTCTAATGTCCCCTTCTATGTTTCCCCCCTCGCGTACAACAACCCTGGAAATGACAGCAGTTTGGACCCTGCGTCCACCTATCAGCACCTCCCGATGGGTGATCATTTTTGGACTCTACAGTAGCTTTGCATGATTCAATAATGATAATAATGCTTATTTATCCTACACTGAGCCTTGAGATG